ATTTATTATGAAAAATAACATAAAATATTACATTAAAATAAGTATTAAGATAAAATTTTTGTCAATGTACCTGAAAATGTATATAATCTTCTCCTTCTAAATTGAGTTTTAATAATCTCCAGTCAAATGTTGCACATTTCCTATAAGAGTCTAAAAGACCTTTTGGTAAGACAGTAGTTGTATCCTTCATCTTCACTGAGCTCTTAGATTGGAACACCTATGCAATCAAATAAGGACCAAATTGTGCTTGATATAATATTATTTTGTTCATCAATATATTTGTCAAAATATCAGTGAAGTATGAGTTATGTTACTGAACTGCTATTTGTTATTACCTTATAATTTTTTAACTTTTCTTATCAACAAGAGTTTTTAGATAAAATTTTTCACTTTTGTATTATAAGTAGAGTTTGCTTTCACAACAGATAGTTAAAAATTGTAGTTAGTGGTCGCTCATCGGAAAGCTTTACACACACTGTGCATATTAACTTGTTTGAATTTTAATAAAGTCTTACTCGCGCATACATAATACAATGATATTTAATTACATAATGCCATGATAATTTTTAATAAATAGCGATTTCGCCAATCGTTAATTACTTCGAAACCTTTCGGGTCAAATTCATAAAATTTCAGAAAAAATTTTGCTCTAAAGAAGGAAAGTTCTTTGAATTGTTATTCTATGTTACTCCATTAAATTAAATGTAACATAGTGTTAATGTTTAATAAGGAAAAAATAAAATTGTTATAAAAAACGTTAAGTACAATACTTTATTTAATTACTGACTATATGTTAATATAATTAAAATGTATTAAATTAATGTTGTTAGACGTAATGTATATTATGTTACAATGATAATTATTTCAATAATGTAAATGGAGAATAATATAGTAATACATATTAGTATTCTTAATTTAGTAATCTTACAAACTATTGTTTTTAAAAAACACATTTGTTTATGTAGAATATTACGTTCAAAAAGATTCGCACTTTATTGAAGTCAATTAAATTAATGATTGAAATCAACTTACATGTTAACCTAATATAGATAGCAAAATATGTAACCTACTACAAAAATATTTTATTTGTGTGTGTGCGCGTGGCGTGCGCGCGCGCGTGTGTAGGATGATAATTATAATGATTTATAAAGATATCTGTAGTATATGATAACGAAACATAAACAATACGTCTTACATTACATTAATTCTTTCGATAATCTATAAAGAAATAAAATCAGAGATGAGAAAACTTGATGAAAGTACGAACAATTTTTCAACCTTTTTGGTATATTACTAGACAAACTTCAAAAATGTATTAATCACTGTAATCAAAATAACTTTGTGAAAATTACATTTTTTTTTTTTTATTAATATCATTTTTTAGTAGTAGAATGAATTATAAATTTATAAATTTACGTAACACAATTTCACTGAAATAAATATTCGTGTATCTTCTTCAAACGTTCGTAAAAAAACATGATTACTTCTTAACTGTTTCTTTACTTGTGTATATACATATATAGGTTGAACTTTAGTTTACTTCATTAAATTTTCAGCACACTTTACAATTACTTTGCGACCTGAAATAAAAATAAACCGAATCCGTCACGACCTTTTATTCAAAATTGAACGATGCTGCTGCTAACGTGCATTTACATTATCGATTGCACTGCTTACCTAACTTAATTTCCTGGCTAATGGGATCCCTGAATATTTGATTTCTTTGTACAATTGAAAGAACGAATTAAAGACTGATAAATCAATATAGGTACCATTGCAGTCGGACTTTCCATTCAAATATTAAATAGTAGAACCTGAACTAAATAAAAATAATTTTAAAGAATAATAATTTTCATTTAAAACTGTTTCAAAAAGTTACTCAGGGGACAATGTTACACTTGGCAGTTCACGTGAACTCTATTTTAATAGTATCGATGTCATTGAACACTCGTAATGAAGAAACGTTACAAATGTTATTCTAATCTAAAATTCTGATACGGTGAGGTACCTAATTAAAATATCAAAGTTTAATGGCTGACGTGCAATATTTCAATGTAGGCAACGGTCACGAAAGAACAATGGTAAAAAGAAACCGATATCATTGAGATTTTAAAAATTCTTTCACAGCGTGATTCTACATATTTTAAGCAGTAAGAAAATTAATGGTCATTTATTTGGAAACTGATGAGAAAGTTACAAAGAATGCGGTTAAATACAAAAATATGACTGTGGTTGTAACAAAAGATGCTACATTTCAATCTCATTTTCTTCGGATGACGATCTATTGGTAAAATAATCATTCAGAGAATCATACAAAAGATTATAATAGAGAAGAAATAATTAAGGATAAAAATTTACGTGCCATGAAAATCATCGGAAAGGAAAAATTCTTTTATAACATGATAATTATGTTGAAAAGAATTTTCGGACAATTTGAAACTACTTAATCGTTCCATAATCTTGGAATATTTTAACGAATCAGAAACTAATAATTATCTATTCTAGACGTGATAAAAGATAGCATGAACTAACATAAATACAATCGTGATCATGGCTTACTTATGTTAGTTTTTATGTTTCGGCTTTACTTTGTTGGGATGATGATGATGAAGTAATTATTCAAAATGCTTGCTAGTAAATGGATGAAGGATGTGTAAGTACAGGAAACCATAAAATTGTTAACATTCTGCAACTCTTTGACCGATCATGCAATCACAAACTCCACAAGGGCAAGTACAAATTCATTATTCGCATGTTCACGGGGTAGTGAACAAAATTTGAAAATTCATTTAAATAGCAAAATTGTTACAGAATTTGCATTCTTGCATTTAACCGTATTCTTTACAACTTTCTCATCATTTTCCGGACAAATGACTATCAGGTTCTGATTCCTTAGAACGTGTAGAATCACGCTGTGAAGAAATCCTTCAATCCCGATGATGACCAAAATTCGCCTATTTTTAACATTGCCTTTTACGCAGAGATATTGAATATAATATATCTAAAGGAAGAAAATGCTTCGTTTCAATTGTTACATACACACATGATAAGTTATTCAGTTAATGGCGTTCGTATATACCAGCGACGGCGAACCTTTTGAGCTCGATGTGTGAAAATTGGGAAAAAACCTACATAGGTTAACTCGGGTGCCGTGTCACATCTAGAAATATCCATAACTGTTGCGAGCGTTACGACCTTGTACGATCACGGACTCTCGCTATGGTTCAGCTCCGAATTAACAATTCTGAACCTCGTTGTTTCTCGTTATTGTTTGTCTGACGATTATTTGTGATCTGCTCGGTTTCGGCTGTGAGGTGACTTAAGTCAATGCGTGTCACCCAAAATGTATTGGCGTGTCACCTTTGACACGCGTATCATAGGTTCGCCATCACTGGTATATACGAATACAAAGCGACACTTATACTAATATACAATACTGAAACTTAGAAATGATAAAAATGAAGAATTACAAATTAAAAGTGAATTTTTCATTTGTATCAATTTACAATCCACCAATTATTAATTAATTTATAAAATTATACAGCAAGCTTTATAAAGAATATCAATGCGGACAAAGTGAAAAGAATCTGAAATCTGTCGTTGAACAAGTCGTAGAAGAAATTATCGGACGGACCAATTGCACTGTTTTCATTACCGATTCTGTTTATCAAAGACTTGTAAATGTGAAAGATATTAAGAGTTCTTCGATTTTATCGAAATACGAGGTGGGGTAAAAGGTCTGAATTATTTCTCGATATCTTTAATCTACTACACGTGTGCTGATTATTGCAGATCGTATTGCGCGACAATGAAAAATTTTCCCGTCTAAGAAGACGAATTCGCAACATCTTGATCGACAGCAAAATGGTTGGCTGCAACGCATATGTTATACTAATTGCAAACGGATTTTTAGCATCGGAATTTCTACAATATACAGAAAGGTAAACAGTAGATTTTTTTAATGGTAAATTCTTTTATGGTATATGCGCAAAGAAGAATGGAACCTGTATGAACTTGAAATAGCGGACATTTTTATGAGAACGGAAATCATCAATTTTACCAATTTTCCCGGAATAAAGTCCTTGCAGTTGCTTTAATCACCAGACACAAATCCGCTTGATTTTTATTTACGGTGTTATTTAAGAATGAAGCTTACTTGCGTCCGTTCGTCATTTTACGTCAAATTGTACGAACATAAAATATAATCAACTTGAAACAATTATGACAGCTGTAGTAGAAGAATGTTAACGCGTTTGTTACCATACGTCTTGCGTGTATCGCATGTGAAAGAGGTGTAAATCATTTATTTTTCATTTCGAGGTATTTACATTTTTACGTTTGATACTTTCCCATCATTGAACCAAATCTTTCAGAAAATATACGCTCCTCCAATGTAAAACTTATCTATCGTTGGAAAATTTTCCGAGTAAATTATACGAAAATGTATCTTTCGAACCCTCGAATGACTTACACCGTTTTCAAAATTAACAGTACATCCTAATTAGGATTAACAAAACATAACGAATTTTATGAATAAAACAAGTTAAAAACAAACATATTTATGTATGTTACAATTGTAACTTTTCTGAATTTATGAATATTCCGCTTCGACGACAAAATTTGTTTTCCGTTTCTGATATTTTAAGGATGTTAAAATATTCGTGGAAATATTGGTGGAATGTAAGATAGTGTAGCCATTATGTATTTATATATTTTTCCTGTCGTACAAAAAAATATGTAATTATTTCCTCTCTCACAAATTGTTTACAGAGAAGAAATGACTTGCGCATCACTATCGAAATGAACTTTAAATCATCGAGGCTCGTTATGAAAATGACACACTTCTGTCATTGCCTATTCCACGAATTTTCGCAGAAATTCTTTTACAATATTGAAACACAAACCGATGTAACATAAAATACCCGATTTTTTTAGTTTTTTCATCTGCACCACTTTCATAATCACTGGCACATATACGGCACCGATGATTTTTCATTTTATAATTTGGACCACGTGATACCGACGAAACAGAACTCTGCTATATTTTAGTCATACGTTCCGCTTTAGTGCTTTGTGTACCTCCTACAAACTAGCGTATAACTGGAATTCTCACGGAAGTTCTCGAGTTATACGTTGTCAGTGATAATTGACACATCGTAAGAGCTTAGAATTGTTGGATGACCAACCTATTGGTTCATGCACCGATAACGCGACCGAGTTACCGTACCCAAAAACATTTCAGTCATACTTGGTTTCATATTAAGTTCAAAGAGGAGGTTTACTCGTATTTAGTCATCCTGGAACTAAGGACCGGAGCAAACTTCTCTCCACTAAATAACTACAATATAAAGGGACTTCCCAAACCAGCACTATAACACCTCGGTCATCTACATATTTGTTAAAACCGGGATAGATTTAAAAGTTGCAGGTCGATGCACCGAAAATTTCCACTATCTCATTCATAATTGTCTAAGCTGTCGTATAGAAACAAAAACCCCATGTCTACCACTTTTAACCATTTTTTTAAAAACCTGCTCAAAGTTTAAATTGTCAGAAATTTTGCACTGTTTATACGTAAATTATAAAATGCTTATAATTAACAGGACTAAATATTTGAAATACACCTGCTGACATATACCCTATAACGAGTACATGTTTACAAGGTTTAATTTCACTTTGAGCTTTACGATTTTACATTCAAAACGCTGTATCTGATCACAGAATGATCTGAAATGAATAATATTTTGGATTTTGAAGCTTCGATGGGTTGTCACTTTGTAGGAACAAAAATTTGTTCAAAATATTAAAGTTGAAAAATTGACTTTTCGCCACTGTGCAGTGGGCCAGAGTTCGTTTTCCATCCTGGTGACAAAGTGACTTGTGTCTTTCTGTAAATACTTCACGAAGCAATAAGTTGTATCCGAAGCTATACGTTCGAAACGTTCGAAATATATCATGCGAGATATGTTGTTAATTAACAATCGTTCTTGACGTGTCTAACTCCGATTCCAATGGAATTTGTAAGTTGATTTCTCCAAACAAAAAAGATTTTATGTTGTATGCTGTATGAAGGGCGATTTACGATCCTAATTTTCTGATTTGAGATTGTTGCGCTTTACCTACACCTATGTTCGGTTAACATTTATGTCATATAATTACTTTTTCCATCCAGATGATTAGTGACGGTGCTTTCACTGTTGCGAACATCTTCTGGATACCACTTATCACAATTTCACACTACGTTAATATCAACAATGCGGCAGTATTGTCGAGGTTCGCGATGAAGAGTAAATTCTGACGGTATGTCGGTTAAAGTTCGAACATCGCAGTTAACACAACGGTGTTCGACTTTAGTCGCATGCCTTAATTCCAGGAATTATATACACCTCTGGAACAACTCGACGAGGAAAGGGAATAGAGAAAACGAGAGTATACGAAATAGACATAGTGCGTCAAACAGCGGTGATCGAGACAATTGTCGACGATGCATTGGATCATGCAACATAAAAAATTCCAATATCGTTCATTTTCATCGTAGCTTCGCGAAAATAGTACCAATGATTTGGTGAGATTCTCCCGATGAAAACGAGTCCAAACACGGCATAAATTGGACTAGTTTTACTAGTCGTCAATTTAAATGTCCCGAAATTTTAAGGGTGCTTGTAAAAGCAGGGCCGCATTTATACCTCTCGAGGCCCTAGGCGCAACATCGTCATGAAGCCTCAGAAAAACAAGTTTGTTTCAGTCAATCAAATTCTTGTTTTTGTATTATGAATTTAATATTTAAAAATAAGTATTTTATTTTGCAACTGTAACTAGACTGTTTTTCATATTGTTGTTTGTGAGGTGTAAGGTTTCAAAATGTGACCCCGTAGAGAGTGAGGCCCCAGCTTGCGCCTGATGCGCCTTATGATAAACCCGACCCTGTTTTCACTTCAATTTAACCGAGCATGAGCGCACATCCTAAAACCTTCAAAACGACAAGAAATATAGACTATAGACTTTGTACTGAATTCGAACGGAATAGTCAGTGAAAACAGAAGGTTTAGAACATTCGGTCGGAACAGAATAATAGCCAGAGCAGAAACAATCAATGGACCTAGAGTAAGCAATTAAAATAAGTCTATTGAGACTTCAGAATAAGATAGTTAACAGTAATCAGGCGTTTCTAAGTATTAGTAAAAAGTGGTCAGGCTTTTTTTGGTAGAATAACGATAAGCAATTGAGCTTTAATATTTCAAGCCGTATATAAGCCATTCAAGCCGCATTGGTTGTAAACCAAGATCAACAAGTCAATAAACACGTCCCAACAGTGATTATCCTAACTACATAAAATTATGTACATAGTTCTAAATCTAGCAAATAAACTTGTTACGAAGCTTATTTGCAATTTATTTATTAGGTTGAGTTAAAAGTCCGTTTCCCGTTTCTTCACAAGAATATAAAATTTTGTTATTTTAATATCAGACTTACCTAATCAATAAGATACGTACGATTTCATCATCGTCGATCTCTTTTGGCCTGCCACTTCGTTTTTTTTTGTCTTCCACATTGAAATCTCCTCCGCTATTGAATCTTTTAATCCACTTTTAGATGGTACGTTTGTTAATAGCATCCTCACCATACACATCATACATTTCTTTTCTTATTTCTTCAACACTTTTCTTCTTGCGAAAATAAAAAAGGATTAGGTGCCGAAAATGAATACTCGAATAATACTGAATGCAAAGCATCTTTAGACTGTCCCTAATGAGATACGTTTCTTAGTTTCAGACAAAATACGCAACAATATCAGGTAACATTACCGAGAAGAGATCTTTTACTCAACCTAATACTTGTTATACTTTTCCATTCTTTGTCGATCGAATGAAATCATTTATATGTACTATTTCTCTATTTGATACGTTCTATATGTAAAATTATCAAAAACGAAGCTATTTGGTACACCCAAAGTGCATCGGTAGTGCAAGCGATAAAAATATTCGTTGTGCGATACGAAGTATTAAAATAACTGTAACAAATATTACAATAATTTTAATATCTCGTAAATTATTAATTTTCCGAATATTTTACCGTAATATCTTTATATGCATAACATTCAAATAAATCGATTTAAGTAAAAAAGGTACATAAATGAATAAATAATCTTATTGCATTGAAAAAGTAAGGTAATTTGGGAAAATAGATATTGTGCAATTATTAAACCTTTTAATCTATCACTTTTGAATGTTGTTAAGCGAATGAGAGATATAGTTTGCTCTAATTGCGCGACTGACCCTGTATGGTGCTTAAGTCGTGAAAGTACACATATTAATATTATATTTAGATTTACGTTCGTAGTATTTTATCGATTAAATTTCAAAAACTACAAGACGCGTAAAAATTTGTATCGTTCCAAATAAACTATTCAACGGTAAGATATAGAAACAAACCTGTGGTTTTTCCAGTTTCTTTCATATAGGATGTAGCAGCTCAAAGAAATAAATATTTCACTTTATATTTTATTAATAAAACACTATATTTTTGTTTCAGGAGCACTGAAAAAGGATAATCCTATACACTACTCTAAAGTGACCTGAAAGTTACTTAAAGTCCCAAAAGAGGAGAAATTGTTGAAACAAACAAGGATCAAGTTTTCTGTTATTCTACTTATTTTATTTGCAAGGATCTGTTGAAATTTTCACTTTTAGCTGTTAGACACTTGAACATGTACATACAATAACTCTCATCTTCATATTTGCTAACATTTTAAGTAACGTCTGATAAATAATACTTGTTAAGTGTTCTAACAAAAGATAGCCATGAGTCAATTTATAGATTCGTCACGTCCAATTCATCGATTTGGTAACATACCGCTTAGCATCCTCCTTGCTGTTGATGCATAGCGAGGCGGAGCATCATCATGGTAAAACTATTTATTTAGGTGCACGAATAAAGTTATGTCTTTCAAAAGATTTGGTAAATCGGGATATTTTCAATTCTGTTACTGAAATCTTCACCGTGTTCAAACTACGCAGATCATGTATGCATAATTCTGCTAATCATTTAAAAGCGTAAATTTATCATTTATAATTTGTTCAGACCATGTAGGTCGCGTATGTACCCCACATTGACGAGACTAACAATTCTGTTTATAATTTATTATTTTGCAATGCACTTATTATGAAACTACAAAAATTCATTATTAATAAGAAAAAGATGTAACGTTTGAAATACATTACAAAAAAAAAAATGAAATTTTCTAATAAATTATTCTTCTACATTCACAGTTGAAATCGAAACAAAAAAAATATCGAATGACCTGAATAGAAAGTTCTGCCTGGGATATATGTATTGAAACAAAATTTTGTTAATTATTTTCACCATGGGATTCAACTGCAACAATTAAAAACTTCACTAGTATGATACATATTAATTTTACCGAAAATTCAATACTAAATATGTTTTTTAAATAATGCACATTTGGCAAACACTTAGATATTAGTCTGCTTGCTTTCATTTTAGATTCGCTAAAAAAAGTTTGATTGTAAATGCCAGAAGTGGAAATTTCAAGTATACCCTGTAGATGAAATGTATAAAATAACAAAGAACTTAGTTTTTGTTTCAATAATTACAATTTTTTGTGACTTTATACTACTTCAAGATCGCTTGAAAGTAACGCGTTAAAGTAATCTTTTTCTGCTTTTTTGTAATGCTGAAACAAACATTTCATTAATAAAATATGCAGTAATCATGAAACGACCTCTTTTAAATTGAAAAGAAAATTTGTTATATATCTTACCATTTTAATTATTGTTTGAAATGGTACAAACTTATAGACACTTTGTACAATTCATTTTTACTTTTATATTTCCAGAGAACGTTTGATAAACACACGTGGATTATTTTTGCTTCTGTACGATTCTCGTTTATTTCAAACAAATTTGCGTTACCTTTGGAACAGGATAATTAATGTAGTTTTTATACGTCGATACAACGCATATAAACATCGTTCTGGTGAGAAAGCCACCGAAGAAAGGATCGACCTGGATACTATCTATTTTCCTGCTAGTAGAAAAACATCTACTTCCACAAATTGTATAGATACTTGGTATCACGGTAAATTGCGTTATGGTGGCAATCATTTCACAGAAAAAACCACCAACTTGCAGAAGAAGCATTTACGGTTTGTGTAAAAAGTTGTAACATAACTATAACTATAATTATTATCTTAAAAGAAATGAATAAAGATTTAGATCGCATTTTAGAATTGCTGTATTTGAGCATATTCCAGCAGTAACAGAAAAATCAAGAGCATATTACAACAAACGACCAAATAACAATGTAGAAGCTTTGGGAATAGAATTTGAAGTATGTATTACACAAGGTGACAACGAAATAGATGGTCGAACTTTGGTACCGTATTCTACTCTTCCTAAAGATGAAAGAAGGTCATATAAACATAGATCCGGAAATTCTTCTTTTTTTTTTTCTGAGATATACGCACTTTTTGTTTATGATGGTGTATTGTAGGAATGGTTAAAACTTACTTAAAGAAATTGCGGAAAATGATTTTCTTCTGCATAAACAGATGCTTCGTATCGACGTTTCAGAAACTGTTGAAGATATTCGAAAGTTCTTGGTCTATTCCTCGTCCATAAGTTAACTAAATATTTGTCCGCTTGATATTAAAATAAGTTATCCTGATAACACGGTCTTAACTATGAAACATTTAGATACAGACTGATTTATTGCGAAATACACTGTCTTCAATGCCTTGAAGGCTTGCTCTACTATATTATTTATTTCTAACAGAAAAAAATAATGACTGTGCATCGTAATTATACGTATGACGGCTGCTCGTATGAAACTACGACGTAATTTAATTTCAATGTAAATAGAAAGTGTTTTTATCTCGGAAAGGCAGAGTTTGCAAACCTATGTTTATACGACCTTCTTTCATCCTTAGCAAGAGTTAAATACGGTACCAAACTTCGACTACCTATTTCGGTGTCACCCTGTATACAGGATCCTTTAATACTATTTCATATTTTTGTTATTATTGTATTATTTTATATTTTTCAGTTAATGCAGATTATTTCAAAGGCAATGAACTTTGAACCAAAATATTATATGCCCTATAATATTGTATCTGAGAAGTGGGGCAATGAAGGAGGTAATGAAACTCATACTGGACTTGTAAGTGAAGCTATACAAGAAAAAGCTGCATTTTATTTGGGTGATTTACATTATACATTGCATCACTTGAAGTACTTTGATTTGACTATCCCATATAATACTGAGTGCCTCACTTTCTTGACACCAGAGTCCTTGACTGAAACTTCATGGAAGCTTTTAATACTTCCATTCAAGTAAATATAAAAAGAAAGATATAAGATAATAAAAATAAACAAAATATATGTATGTATTTTCATTTTTAGGCTTTACACATGGATTGCTCTTATCCTCACTTTAGTTCTAGGAAGTGTAGTATTTTATTCTTTATCACTGTCTTGTAAAAAGTACATAAGTTTGTATAAAAATCAAATGCATATTCAAAGTACATCACTGAAGAAGGAAATAAAGGGATTATATTTATTTACTGAAATAGGAAATAGTATTTTATATACTTATAGCATGCTATTTCAAGTTTCATTACCAAATTTGCCAAGCCCTTGGGCTGTACGAGTATTAATTGGGTGGTGGTGGATTTATAGCATTCTAGTTGCAGTTGCCTATCGAGCTAGTATGACTGCAACCCTAGCAAATCCAGTTGCCAGGTAAATATTATTTTAATAAAATTCATTTAGTCTACAATTATGATACTACACAATTTAAATTTTAACAATAGTTTTGTTAACAAATTTAATAATACATTTTTATCTAATGTTTTCTATGATTATTTAATTAATTTTATTTATATTACAACTTAATTGCAGAGTTACTATTGATACATTAACACAATTGGCCCAAAGTTCTATAGAAGTTGGAGGATGGAATGAAGAGACCAAAGACTTTTTCTTAATGTCATCAGATGTTAGTAGTCAAGAAATTGGTAATAAATTTCAATTAATTAAACATGAGGAAGAAGCTATTGAGAAAATAGCAAATGGATCTTTTTGTTACTATGAAAATTCTTATTTACTTCAACATGCTCGTGTGAAAAGACAGATGTTTCAGAAGCAACAAAAGGAAAATAAAACTACACAAAACATGTTATTAAAACACAACTTGCACATCATGGAAGAATGTGTTATACATATGCCAATAGCTCTTGGCATGGAAAAAAATTCACCTTTAAAACCACATGTTGATATTTTGGTACTTTTTATTTTTTTTTACAACTTATTTTACAACTATTATAAAAAAAATATTTAATCAAAATTATTTATATAATGTATATTCTTAGATAAGACGTATAATAGAAATTGGATTAGTTGAGAAATGGCTGAGTGATGTTATGGAGTGGTCAAAAATTATGGAACTACAACAAGAAACAGAATCTGAAAAAGCATTAGTTAATCTTCATAAGCTACAAGGTGCATTTATTGCTATTACAGTTGGTTATTTATTAGGTTTCGTAATTTTAATAGGAGAAATATTATATTGGAAACATATTGTCTTAAACAACCCAAAATTCGATAAGTATCATTTAGATATATTTTATGATAGTACCCGTAATTTAGAAATACAAACGAACCATTTAGATTCATAAATTAATTTTTCAAAAATAAAAAATCTGAAGAAATAAAATTCATTTTTTGCAATTGATTTGTAATAATACGAAAACATTATATTTTGTAAAATTTAATAATTATTGTAAAACAAATATTTCCTACGTAACGCTTAAAATAGGTAACGTATGGTTACAGTTGCGGACACATACACACACACATCAATCAATATATACTATAATATAAGTAGAATGTAACAAATACAGCAAAAGAATTTATAAATATTTAGTGGCATATTAAAAAAGTTACATACCAATAATGCGACAAGGAAGGTTAAATATTCTTCCTTTCGTTATAACACAAGCACTTGTTTTTATTTAATCATTGAATTGCTCTCTCTTTTTCTCTCCCTTTCCATTTCTCGTTCTACTTCTCTCTTATCCTATTTTTCTTTCTCTTTTTGTTACACATTACACATTTTGTTGTTGGTCTTTTTACTTCTATGGTTTCACATGCACTATTTTGCTTACGTAATTTTGTTCTTGTTTTTAATTCATTCACTTATGTTACTCTTATTGTCTTTTCTCATTCACTATTTATTAATTGTACTCTTTTTTTGTACACTTGTTCATAAGTTTTATACATATTTCCTTTATGATATAAACGTCTTCTTACCTTATAGCTTCCTTTTTGTCTTACATATAGATATGAGTGTAGATGACATGGAACGTATGAATGTAAACACATATGCGTAGTGATATATTGAGAGCAATATATGTAATTACTTTATTAATTTTATCATTAATTTTTAATTATTAAATGCATTGACTTTATTGCATAAAATGAAATGTTTGTAAAGGTAATCACTAAGCTTGATATGTATTTAATTAATAAAAGAACTTCGTATAAATTAGAAAACAATCGATTTTTAATTTACATGGGTAAATACAAATTTCAAACAGATATATTTAGCTAAATAATTTCAATATTATAAAAGTTCAACAAGTAATTATAAATATGAACAGATTTGGTATTGAATTTGAAATGCTACTCTACATTTTGGTATTGTAATTCCAATTATTCAATATGAAAATTGATTGCAAGTTTGTTTGAAATGTTGGAAGGAAAAACAAAATAGGTTTGTTATTAATAATTTATGATAATTATGTATGTATACGAATGCATATTAAAATTGTTTCATGTATTCTTGTAATAATAGGTTATTGGATTTGATATAAATAATAAAATATAAAAATGACATCAGCAACAGAGAATACAAAAGATAAAGGGCAAGAAGATCCCATTAGATGTATATTTTTTTCAGAATTTCATCCTATTGTTGGTCCAATGATTACTTGTCAGGTTAAGAAGTATTACACATAATTTATTTTAAATGATATTTTTTATCTTAAATAATAATTTCATAAATAATACAATAAAAGTTATATTTATAATGACATTGTTTTAGGTTCCAGATAACTTCATTTCAAAAGATATTTTTGATAATGTCAGTGTTTATATCATACCAAAAGCACAGTTGCAACGCAGTACTATAACAGTGTAAGTTTAGTATTTAAATACCTAACTTTAAATATGTTATTAAAGTCTCCATTTTGTTATAGAACATTAAAGGATTATAAAATTTTGGGATTTCCAGTTAAAATTGATGATAAAAAATATGCAAGAAATGCATTTTATTTTAATTTGTGTTTTGTGTGTCATGCAGAAGCTCGTACAGTGCACTATGAACCTGTTGTGAAGAAAATGTCTGATTTTCTAGTGGGTATTTATACATTGTTAAAAATTGTCTTATTGATTAATTTATTGAATTCAATTGAATTAACTTAATTTTGCAGATGGCTCTTGAAGTAGAAAATTGTTTTCTATCTGCTTCTGATGATAAAACAAGATTATCAGAAATGCTCCAACAGGTAATGCAAAATTTAAACTTGCACAAGATGTGTACATTAACAGGTAAGAATATTTTATAAATAATAGCTTTGTATAAAAATGTTAAAAATGTAAAATATAATATTTTAATAGAGGGGACAATGACATCCCATTTGAAAGTCATAAAATTAGCACCTGAGCCAAAACCAGTTCTTGATCATCAGGTACCAATATTCTTGGAAGGCCGTGAAACATTTCAGAGTGATCAATGGGACTTAACTACTCAGCAAGTGTTACCATATATAGATGGATTCAATCATGTTGCGCGAATAGCAGCTGAAGCAGATGTGGAGAACAATTTGGTTAAAAGTTGTGTGCAGAACCTTGTGTAAGTACATAAATATAAAATTTCATTTTAAATATGCAATTTCAATAATGTTGTTGCAATTTACTTCCAGTTACTATGGTGTTGTAACTTTGATTCCAATATTCCAATATAGTAATGTCTATGCTGTAACTTCCAAATTAACAGAGTTGGCAGAAAATATAAAATTACAAGAGCAATGTATAGCATATGCTTCAAAATTTTGTAAGTTTTACATATTCAATGTAGAAGTTTATAAAAACGAAAATATTCAACAAAATATTATTTTTAGCTAGGCAACCTGCATATCTTAGAGACATATATCGAATGTATGCAAGTATGACACATGGAAGCAGTATAAGAGATTTATGTCAACGTCTCAATCCACAGAATTTAAGAATCAATGAAAGACGATTAGTGCAATTTGGTCTCATTGAAGGTCTTATTCGTAGAGTATATAAAGTTTGTTAATTCTATTATTATACAATTACATTATTAATTTTGTTATTTTTTGTTTATTTAAAAAATTATTTGCCTTTAACTTTTGTTGCAGTATCCAATATATTTATCAGGTCCTTCGTGTGGTGAAGAAACAAAGAACAATCCAGTTTATAAATATTTTACAGGAACATACAGTCTTGATGAAATTTGTTGCAGTACAGGTCAGTCAGCTGCTCAAATTGAAGATATTGTTGAACGTGATCCAAATGTTATTATGTTATGGAAGTAATATTTAAAATAACATTCAGTGAATTTTGCCTTCTATGATTTTGATAAACATAATGAAATTTTCATTTAAGCAGAAATATGATGACACAAGATATATTTTAAATGATAAATCGACAAGTTCAGTTGTAAATTTATTGTATATTCTCGATCATTCGTTTCACTTCATTAATGTATATTTCAGATACTTTACTGCTCCTCATTTCATCACATTTCCTTTCCATCGCATCGCGGAGATTTTTCTTACGCATTGCGACTTTCGTACGAATTGCTAAACCTTCCTCAAACATTTTTTGTCTCGCTTTTATGCGTTCTCTTTCTTTCTCATTTACCTAATGAAAATGGTCAAATATGAATTCTTTTTCTAATATTGCATCAATTAGTTTAAATCAGAAGCAATTCAAAACAAAAATGTTAAAGAATAGTGTACCTATTTGTGGTAAAATATCTTACATAATTTGGGAAAACAATTAATGGAATTTATACTATTCATGAAAAAAATTATATTAATTTATGTACTGGAGTATAAAAAGTAGAAGATCAATAATTATCACGTTTTCTTAATTATATAACAAAGAATTTATAATATAACTATTTAAAAAGTTTATGGTATATTACAAATTAAAACACTGACCTGCTTCAATATTTCGCTTCTATGAAGTAATGCTTGTCGGTGTTTTTTCTCAAGTTCTTTTTGTTCTCGACAAAATGCTTCTTTTTGAACACGTACAATTTTTTCAAATTCACATCGTTCTCGTTCTAGTTCAATTGCTTGCATTAGTCGTTTGCTACTTATTTGTTTCTCTCTTTCTTCCATAAGGGACTTCTGAGCTTCAGCCTTTTTCAGAGCTTCTTCTTTTTCCTTTTGTCTCCATTGTCGTTCAACTTCTTCCTGAATTCGTGCGGCATTTAACTCATCAATTCGTTTCTATAGAAGCGTACAAAGTTATTATTAAAATGTAACTACGAAATATAGAATTTTTTATATTTTATTGTGACTCTGATAATTTTTATACGTAATGTTGTAATGAACAATAAAATTAAATATAAAATACAAGTATATGAAACGA